TTCCAGTTGGAAATGACTGCAATGTAGGCAGGTTCAGCTTGTGCTAGCAAAGGGTTTGACACTGGTGATACACTGCCCTCTGGCGGCCAAAGATTTAAAGAAGCGTGCAGCTTAGAGAGCTGTCCTGTTTAAAATTTAATGCAGGTTTTTCTCTTCAATTGTTTCCTATTAGGTATTTATTTCTGGAGATGCGGAAATCAAGAACATCTATTATTTCCAAGCATCAATGCTTTAGTTTTATGAAAGCATTACATTTCAGGTTGCTTTTCCCTGAAAGAAAAGGCAACAAGAAAATATTAGAAACAGTGCCATGAATAGAGCTGTTTAAAAAATTTTGAAAAAAAAAAAAGACTTGTTTGGAATGATGACTTGAAATTATTATTTCAACTCTAACCTGTTTCCACACATCAAAATTTATCACAATGCAAGTGCCAATCGAAGAGACCCCTAGTTTAACAGGAATCATCAATGATTGCTAACACCCACTGGGTAAAGGGGTAACATTAAATTCAGAATCTCAAAGCATGACCCTCAGATTACATGGAAAGTTGGCAATGGGTACATAAGTAAGAACTGGTTTTGGTCAAAGGAGATACTTATTCGGCCACCTTATCAAAAGCAATAACCACAAAACAGACTCCACGTTGTGCGTATATGTTTTTTGTTTTGTTATTTATCACACATGCACACATACACACCATTGTTTTGGATTTGATTTTTTGAGAGATAGACAGACAGACACAAAGAGAGGGAGAACATAAAATTGGGTGGAAAGGGAGGATTTTGGGGAGGGGAAAATATGATAAAAATATATTGTATAAAATGTCTTTTAAATAAATACATAAGAACAACGCAGATTCTGTGAGTGCTATCCTATTTGATGTGAGTCAGGATAAAGTAGCATTTAATACTTGAGGTCAAATCAAGGCCTTATATTAGTTGTGTTACCATAGATAATATGCTATCTATGAGCCTGTATCTACCATATAGAAAGTAGAATAATGGCATTTATCTCCACAATATCCTAAAACTTCTATGTATGTATATGCATAATTATAAAAAATGTAGTTAAGGGATTGTCATTTATTATCAAATTCTCTTTTTCTGATCCTCACTCCCAGGACAGTGTCTCATTACATAGCACTGGTTGACCTGGAACTTTCTATGTAAAGCCAGTTGGCCTTGAAGTCACAGAGATCCACTTGCTTCTGTCTCCTGTGTGCTAGGATTAAAGACCTGTGCCATCATGCCTGGCTATTAGCAATTTTTCTAAGAGCAGTTTATGTAAAACATATTACTTCAATATTTGGGGCTTTCAGTGTGAGAAACTAAACACAGACACTAAGAGGTACATGAAGGAAGACCCCATAACTAGGTCTATATGAAAAGCCGAAAGCCCACGCTGAAGGCTGGCAGACGCTGGGTTAGCAGCAGACGCTGGGTTAGCAGCAGACGCTGGGTTA